CCCCAAAACCCCAAAACCCCAAAACCCCGTCTGATTACATATTACCAATCTTTTTAATCAAATGAAAATAATTAAATACTTTCAAATGGTCTTTTTCAAATTCAAAGTAATCAAATGAGGAGTCATATCATCATGATCTTTTGATTTTTCCTCAAACTGCTTTTGCAGTTTGCTTAACATCAATTCTTATAACTAAGGACAATGATCTATCTCAATGTTGAAATCATTTTAGGCTTTATCGATAAACCTTTACATAGTGGTGCCTCTCTTAGGTGCCATAATGATTATTTTACCATCAATGGGATTCACTAATCTTTTAAGAGTAGAGATTAAAGCATCATGATAATCTTAAAAGAATAAACTAATATTATAAGTCAATAGAATCTATATCTTACCAATCTGAAATGAAAATATAGTCATACGTATCGTGTAGTGGAATTTCACTTTCATCAATAGTCCAAAGCAATTCGAATATATCTATATTAGTAGATAATTTCAATTAGTTTCTTTCCAGGTGTTGCTTTAGGGCTATAGTTTTATTAAGAAGATATTTCTTACTTTAAACACATTTAGAATTGCCATCAGTTATATGTATATTGATATCACTATTATCTATCGAGAGCTACCCAATCATGAATCCAATCAATCCACTCTAGCCTGCCCCAAGTTCTAACACTCTTTTCTAGGATAACACAGATTTTCTCAAATCTTCATTGATGTAGATGTAGTATGCTAGTATCTCTTCACTTGGCCAAACTCCTAGCAAGGTATCATTATGATGGAAGTTTACTTACTCACATTCCCAGTGTTATCTACAGCATTACCCATTGAATTCACCAATTCATCTAATGTGATCTCCTATATAGGCTACCTAGTAGATCATCATCTAAATTTATGATTCTTTACTCAAATTCCAATAATGGTAAATCTTCGCTGATTTTATAGGATAATATGTGATTCTCCAGTGTTTTCTCAAATAAGCCATCGATGTCCAAGTGATCTTTATTTAAGTCACTGATGTCTACCTTCTTGTTCAGCAGGATTTGCTTGAACTTTCCCAAGGCATTTTTAATTCTAATCTAAATTATAGATAGACACAATATAGCAATGCAATGAGAATCTTACTTTTTTGCTCTCTTATTATTCCATTTACTGAGTGAATTACAGCTATATTTTTCAAATTAATATTATTATAATATATAACAAATTAATAAAATGTTTATGATTGTGAGCAAAGAAGACTTTCCAGTGTTTGAGCTACCAATTGATAATCTAGTTAAAAGAAAAGATTATGTGCAGATTCATGATTTTATCCTACACTCTAGTTTAGATGTGATTGACCAGATATAATGGAACTCAAATAATATGTACCTTAAAACAGTAGATAAATTCAATGAACTCTCAATTACATGTCTTCTAACTCCATCTAGTATGTTCAAGCCATTTTTTATTAAGAAACACTATAATAACTAAAAACATTGTTTGACTTCTATATAGATGCTAGATTTTTGCTATTGCATGAGAATAGAAGTGAGGATGCTATCAAAAATTTCTTCAACGAAGTATATGAGTTATTTGTAAAAGTAAGCTATAAATATTTTAGTATTCATTATTTTTAGGTTGTGATGAACCCATTTTACGATTCAAACCAGAAAATCTAGCTATCTAGTTTTGAGGAAAGAGTGAAATCAGCTGCAAGAAAGTATCTTTGAGAAATATGAATGAAAAAGTTAAAAATATAGATATAATTGATTTTTTATCTTTATAAATCTTCACATAAAAGTGATGGTGGGGTTTTGGGGTTTTGGGGAGATCG